CCTCCTCATAAGTCGTTGTCATGGTGCCCGTTGCTAGTTAAACTCCCACCAGTCATGTCTCACCTAGCTCAAACTTTTCAGATATCAGTCTCACATTGACGCCTACATAATAAACTAATTATGCTACTTGGTTTGTTCAAAACACAACACGTCTAGACTATTCAACAGCTATCATTAACTAGCATCAGCCTCCTCATAAGTCGTTGTCATGGTGCCCGTTGCTAGCTAAACTCCCACAACGCCGTCTGCTACAAACACAAAACCTCCTCGGCTGTTCACAGCAATCCAAATTCCAACACGACTAAATAAAGAAAAACTAAACTAGTTGTTTAAAAATGTGGATTTAAACACCAACAATATGATTTCTGTTCTATTAGCACTCTGTCATGAACGCGCTACGCTAACAGATTCCAGCTTCTTTTGTTCAAGTGAGCTCTGGTTGGAGGTGATGACCCTCCTCAGAGTCTCTGTCATGGGCCCACTCTAGTCTGAGTGACGCCTCCTCTGGTCTCTAAACAGTAAGAGGCTCCACCTGGTGGAACAACCAGGTACTACAGCAAAACAAAAACACCCTGACCAAAACGTCATGAAACTTCTCCACAGTGACTAAAACTTGTCCAAAACTGCTTAAAGGTCGTTCAAAACGACTCGATACTCGTCCAACGTGACTACAAAAAAAAATGTCCAAAATGAAAATGTTTTCCAACTTCTCCAAAATGTCTTCCGAGTACTCCAAAATTTCTCAAGACTTGTCAACAAGTGCAGAAAAGTTGCCTAAAACGAGGACAATTTGTCCAAACCCATGTCCTAATCAGTCCTCACCGGTCTTCAACACTTTAGCGCTAGTCAGAGGTCATGAACCTCCTCAGACTCTCTGTCATGGTCCTGTTGCTGCGAAACTCCCACAATGCTCTAGAGACGCCTCCTCTGGTTTCTACAGGATTAAACAGCCAGAGGCTCCACCTGGTGGAACAACCACGTACTGCAGCTGGTTTGTGGTACCTTTTCTCCATCTGTTGGGGCCTCAGTACCTCCTACCCTCTAACTCGATAGCCAGACAAGGTTCTACTGGAGCTTCACAACAAGGTTCCTGACCATCTACAGAACATTAAGAAACAGACTGGAGACTAGGGCTGGTCCATATAACAATTTCTGGAATATTCGGGCCCAATTAATGACAAATATCCAAAGTGGCCGGAACGCACAGGCAGTATTTGGCTGCTAATGCAAGTTTAGGCTAGCGGTCACAGTTTTGTTTCCGCCAGTGGCAGCGTGGCAATATATATCCGGATAGCGCCACAACAACCGAATATTCAGATATTCGGGTTCGGCCCGACCGGAGACAATGTTTTGTTGTTTGTTTTTTTATGTAGTACGGAGCTATTTACTTACATTTAATGCACTTGGAAAAAAAAAAGAAAAGGTACCGAATCAGGACTCTGTATAAGCACATGCTACATATTAAATGACTTGGATCACTTTACAAGCCAATGCAGAAAAAAGAAGAAAGGGATGAGGGCATCTTTAGTTGGTTCAGTACAATGAACAAGCAAACAAACTTGTATAAGGACATTTGAGACTCCAAAAGCCTCATGGAAGAACTAGAACAAATTAAGGATTGACCAATTACTGGCCAATCAAACATCCACGAGCACGCAAACCAGATGCCAGCTTTACCCCTAGTGGCCATGCAGGGGCGGTGCGCCTGGGGCGTCTTGGCCTCTTTTATTTGACCTGAAGCTTCCATTTCGTGTTGCTGCCCATGTCGTCTGGGATCTACCAGCCTTTGTTTGACCGACTTCTCTCTGTTTGTGTTTTCACCCAGAATCCCGGCCGTTCCTGAAGACCCCCATGATGTTCTAAGAGACAGACTCCGCCTCCGGAAACCCCGCCCCCCTTCCCCTTCCCGCACAGAAGAACTCCACCAGCCCGTTTCCACAGCAACCACGGCTTCCACGGCAGCCCGGATCACCGCGGCGACAACCTCCCCCGGCGGGACTCACGCTGTCACGATGAGACTACTAAGAGGCGCTCCTCACGTGGACTTGTTTTGAGGACGTCTCTCGACCTTGTCTTCTTCTTCTCTTCCTTCTTTTTAGACAAACTTCACTCCGCTCATTCCTCTTTTTCTGTCCCTGCACCAGAACTTCCCTCATCCTTCCTTCCTTCCTTCCTTCCTTCCTTCCTTCCTTTGTTTCCAAAACTGAAACGTTTGAAATCATTCCTGATCAGAGGGACCGGACGTCGGACGACGACGACGACGACGTTGATCCTCGTGGTCGGACGTCGTTGGGGGAACACCAGAGGATGGGCTTTTTTAAATGGTCCAATGACGCGATGGAAAGACTTTTCATGAACGTAGAAACTGTTCCACCACCACCAACCCTCTCCGGACGTGACGGGTAATTCGTCCGCCTCCCGGGCCGGCCACCGCCGACTCCCTCCCGGTGGCGTCTAGCTAACCGGAGGAGCTCGGGACCAGAGGAACGGGGGTCTCGAAAAAACAAGTGTTAAAAATATTGGGAAGGAAACAAAAAACTGCAGAAAAAAACAACTCGGGAGGCTATTTCTGTCTCTCGTGTTTCATTCATTTTTTTTTGTTTTCCGTACAGGGACTGAAAAGAATGCATGGGAAAACTGTTCTGTTGTCATTGGGCTTATTTTAACCTTTGTTACCTCTTTCTTTCTCCTCCCCTTCCTCTGAGGAAACGCTTCATTTCCAGCCTTCTTTTCTTCATCTTTATATGAAACTGCTCCTCCTCCTCCTCCTCCTCCTCATCCTTCGGTACATTCTCACTTTTTTGCATGACTCCTCTCCTTACGACTTGTTTTCGCCCCATGTACTTTCCACCCCCTTCGTTTTCTTTATCTCTCTCTCTCTCTCTCTCTCTGTAAGGAGGCATTACTCTGAACATGTTGGATGCAGCTTTTCGATGTATGAAGTATTTTCTATCACCCTTGAAACCCTGTGGAATCAGTTTCTGAAACGATGCAAAAGTTACGAGAAAAACAAAAAGACAAAAAAAAACACAAAAACAAAGCATTTTTTAATACAATGGAGTGATTTTTAGACACGATATTATCCTAAAGGTACGTTGAATTCCCTTCCTCCACGTCGGACCTTTTGGCCTCCCTGAGGTCACGGTTTCTAGTGTTTGTCCGAGCAAAGAGGCGGAGCGCTCGGTTTTGGGCTGAACTCTGATTTTTCCCCTTTTTTGTTGTGGGATTTGAGAGCCCGTCTGCAGCTGTTTGAAGTGCGGAAGGCGTGGAAATCAAGCGCCCCCCCCCCCCGCGACGCCGAACACCAGAAACCTTTTACTCTCCCGATTTTCTGACCTACTACGAGTGCAGACTGTTGTGTTGAAGTTTTGTTTATTCCACTGCGTGTTTTCTTTGTTTATTTGTCGATTACTATTTGAAATGTGTACGAGGGAGGGCGGGGCCAGGGTGGGCGGGGCTTGTGGTTAAAGGGATATTCTGTGTAGATAGAGACGACATTTTCTGGTTTCGTTTTATTTTTATTACGTTTTTTTTTTTTTCCTCTCTCCTGATGATCTCTCAAGTCTGTCACTGTTCTCTGGGTTTGAGCTGACTGCAAATATACAGTATTATAATGACTGCTGTCTCTTCTTCTTCCGATTCAACTAGTCACGGCAAATAACTGATTCATCGTTAGCGAGTTTAAAGACAGTGCGAATTTGCAAAGGCATGCTACCCTCACAACCAGCATCACAAATATACACAAATATTTCATATTAGTTAAGACAGAGCTAACTAATATTAAAAAATGGCTCTACAAATATTCCCCAATGAGCATTTTCACCCTTTTCGGTTATGTAGAAACAACACCTCCGACTGAACTGCTGCTTGAAGTGGCTTCAGTTTATCCTTTAAACTAGGGGCGCGTTCATTGCGATTAATTAATTACCAAAATTAACACATTTAATCGCAATTTGCATCCAGACAAGTCAGCGCCCGATTTCACGGTCCACCGATCACGATGCACGAGATGCGTCAGCGCTACGCTAACGACAACAAACATGGAGGAACCCGATGAGCGCGCATCGCTTGGACTGATGGGGTTCCATTTTAACGAGCGGCCTGATGGAAGCCTGGACAAGAGCCTGGTTCTGAGCAACTTGTGCCAAAAAGAATGTGCATCCCACCAAAGCACATGGAGCTGACGGTACCACCTGAATGCAAAGCAGCGAGCACAGAAACCGCCAGAGCTGTTAGCGCTAGCGGTCCTGGGTAGCCACGAATGTTTTTAACGCGTTATTTTTGTTGTAATTGACACATTAAAGTCTCACCCCTAGTTTAAACACAAAACAAAATCAAAAGTTTGGCCAGGAAAGAGTGCAACTCTTGAAAAATGCGCTTATATGTCGGTTTTATCCATAACAACTATATACAACCACAGACTTTGGGTCTTGAGACGGACACTACAAACTTGACGGTTGCTATCTTGGCGATGCTAACCGCTCTGTGAACAGTGGCTGCTGTGGTTGAAGCTAAATGCTAACCTCAGTGTGAACATGTTGACCTAGTAGTAGCACTAAACGGTACACTGAAACGTATTTACTTCTACTTTTATTCTACTGCAGTTCCTTAACACAGCAATCCAGTTAAACCCCAACAACTGCACAGTGTCCTCCTACAAACTACATCAAATGTAGGCGTAAACGTTAAAATGCCGACCCGGTTTTCACTGCCTTACAAACTCTCCGTGGCTACGTGGAGCATCTAAAGCTCGACGTCACTCTGACAACACGTCAGAGTGAAATAACTCAGATTTCCTGCACAGGGAGGGACGCACACTGACCTGAAACCCATCCTGTTCTCATGACATACATGACACACATGAAGCTGTGACACCCGGATGGACGTGTCTATCTGATGCAAAAACCCTCGTTAAATAAACTAAAGTCACTGCAGATGGAATGACCGCATAACTTCCAGGGAAGGCGCTGAGCAGTGAGCCCAGACTCTGTAGCTCATCAGCTGTTGGCGAACCCAAGTACAAAATAACTGCTGGTGAGACATGGTGGTATCTCGCGGGGTAGCCTCCGCATACTCTCACAGCGAGTGCAAACAGAGGCGGCACTTTGGTATTCTGCTAATGCACTGGGTGGACACGCGGGGAAGCCTGACGGTAAACACACACACACACACACACCCGCCGTCCATGTTCCATTTAGACTGTATATTTACTCTGCATTACCAGGTTAATGAGGTGGAGCTCCCCTCTCCCTCACTCTGCCTTTAATGGATCTACACCTCCGTCACTCTCCTCCTTCTCTCACAATCGCTCCCTCCTTCTGACCTTTGCTTTCCCTTCGCCTATCCTCCGTTTCATCTCTTTCCCCTCTCTCTCTCCATCTCCCTCCGTTTACCAAATAGCTGATGTCACTTTTTCCATTTCCCCCTAATGGAGGCGGAAACACAGAGCGATGGACGGCGAGGGGGGAAAAACAGGCCGAGATGAAGAAGGATGGATGGGAAGCGAAGGAGGCAACGAGGAAGGATGAGAAGGTGACAGCGCGGGGGAAAGGAGATTGAAGGAAGCCGGAGTGGACGTGGGGGGAAATGAGGGGAAGACGGAGGGAATCGGGGAGGAAGTGATGGACAGAGATGATGTTTACAGAACAGACATGGAGGGAGAGAGAGCAGAGGACGGTGGGTAAGAAACGGTGAACGATGGATCTTCAAACACAAACGACTCACTCCAAGTCGCAGACATCAGGTCAGCAGCAGGAAAACACAGGGTTTGGATGTTTAAAGTGTAGATGAAAATGATTTGGCCACAAACACAAACTACCTGCATGTTCTGTTAAAACTAAAACTAAAAATTAAAAAAACCTACTAAATTCACTGAATTTTTCCTTTTTCTTTGCAGATTTCTTCTCTTTTGGTAAATGCACAAATACATTCATAAAATTACAAAGACAAATGTCCTTTAAACCTACATCTCTAATATCAAGTAATAAAAAAACTGCAAACTTTTTACAACTTTTACAACTTTGACATGAAGACTTTATTGTAATGCCACTGTTTTATTTATTTAGTAGATTAAACCGTCGTCCTTTTAATTTGACAGACTGTTCAATGCACTAATATATTAATTAAATTACAAAAATATACAACCTAAATAATAAAGAAGCACCAACTTTAAAAAACCTTTTACACTACTTTACTGTAATGTCACTATTTTATTTCTTTAATAGACTAAACTGTCGTCCTTTTAATTTAGCAGCTAATTAAATTTTTTGGTAAATGCACAAATATATTAATTGATGCATCTGATGTCAAACAACAAAAAAAAAATACTTTTAAAGCTCACAAAAGTTCAAGAAAACTGAAATATTTTGGCATTTAAAGACACATTTGCTGTAATATTTTCTTTTAATTTAATAGATGATAAATTCAGGGTTCATTCTGTTTGTTTCTGACATGAGCAGATAAATATTTTGTTTAGTTATTTGATTTTTATCAGCTAAAGACGATGGAAAATATCCTGAAAGTGGGTCGACGCGCCGTTTCAAACAATCAAAGCGTTTATTAAATGGGTGTAAAATTGGACAGACGCTGACTTAAATATCCAGAGTTCATGGTTCAAAACGTCCACCAGGAGGGAATGAGCCCTGAAGGTGTTTGGACTCTGGACGAAACGCGACGTCTTCATCTGCGTTTATGTGATATTTACATCAGGTCACAGACAACAGAGCTGCTCCATAAACAAACGGTTACGAAACAAAAGACAGAAACGACGAGACGACGGAGGGATGGAAGGAAAAAGGAAGGAGAACAGAGACATTCCCAGACAGAGCAGGCTGTTAAACACACACACACACACACACACACACACACACACACACACACACACACACACTCTCTTCGCTCCGTCATTAGTCTTCATTAGAGTCTTTATGAGGAAAATTAGAAAGGGAGTTTCCTCCCAAACTGAACCCTGGGGTCCAACCTGCCTGTCCGTGTGTGTGTGTGTGTGTGTGTGTGTGTGTGTTCATTTCTACATGGGCTTCAGCAGATGAAAGGATATCGTGTGTGTGTGTGTGTGTGTGTGTGTGTGTGGAGTCCAGGTAAAGTCTAAAGAAGCCCGACAAACCCGCGCATGAAATGAATTAAAAAAAGCTCGTTATGGAAATAGAGCAAAAAAAAAAATCTAAACATGTTTAAAACTGGTCATTTGTTCTTTGAAACGTTTCACCGGAAGATATTATTTTCAAAATATAAGCCAGCCGGGACGGATAACATCGAATAAATAAAAAATAAATTTTAAAAAGTGTTAATTTAGACGTTGAGAGTTTAAAAAAATGTATTTAAAAAAATAGTACAGGTCTGAAATCATCACGATATAAAATTTAAAAAAAACAATCAGACACAATCACAAACATTTATCATGTAGAAAAACAGAAATGCATTTAAAAAAAAAAAACAGATTAAGAAATCCTAATTTCAATCACCACCGGTCAGATCACGCTGTGGGCGGGGCCTCAGCCAGCAGCCAATCAGGGAGAGGCCACCGAATCGCAGGCAAACGAGCGTATTTTTAATCCAATCAGTCACGTCACCGTTTCCTCGCTAAAACAAAGTGACGTGAAATAAACAGATCCACGAGTGTGTGTGAGAGTGTGAACGAGTGGCTGTGTGTGTGTGTGTGTGTGTGTGTGTGTGTGTCCTCTCGGTGCTGACAGCTTCTCATTATCCACAGACAGCTG